GCAAAAATAATCGGTGACTAGTCGACTATCAAAATAATCGTTTGTGGCAGCCCTATTGATCATTCAAACTTGTGTTATCAAGGATTTTATTGAAGTTGATCACAGGGTGTTAAATGCTTCTGAGCTGAAAACGTGCTACATAAGTTCACAAAGATCTGGGGTTGAGCTTAAGCATTATTATAAATAACGTCATCTTGTATATGGGTTGCATTTAATCGCTATTTTCTTCTTCTGTTAATTTGACATTGTAATGTAACTGTTTTTATTGCTGATGTGCAGGTGGACACTCTGAGTCAGAGCACAGAGCAGATGGAGGAGGACAGGGATGGATCACAGCAAACAGATGCAGCTTTGATGGGCTATAAAAGGAGACCCCAGCAGGAGGAGCAGAGCCCAGTGGCCACGTCAGATACAGAGGTCAGTTTGTGGTCAGGCCGTCAGTGCAGCTGTACACAAAGAACACAAGTGCATCGACAGGAAACGGGTTGTAAAGTGGAGCTGTGTGGGGAAAATGTGTCTGCAGGGTTTGAAGGAGAGACTGATGGTCCTGCAGAGTCTGGTGGCTGAACTGGAACTGGACCAGAAACGACTGAACAAGAAAAACTTTCATCTGGAAAATCAGAAAGACAAACTGAAAAGAGCGACACACACGCTGAGAGAGACGCTGCAACAGGTACACACAACGATGAGACCGGTACACGTGCACGCACCCAGAGAGACGCTGTGTACACTTCTACATTAAGCCACATTACACAGGTGCACAGCAGGATGCAGCTGATTGCAACCACATCCCAGCAGATGTGCCGCGGAGCTTTAAAGAAATGTTGCCGTGTCTTTGCTCCACGTCACGTAAAATAGCGTTGGATCTATTTTTAACACAAGAAGTGTCGAGTTGCACACAGCAAGGTAAAGTGGCAAGAACTAGGACCCAGGAGCAGCACAGAGAATCTGGTCAAACTATATTCTGATATAGGATATAATCTGGTCACCATATTTGCTCCTGGTGTAAACAAAGGGCAAAAGAAGCCTGAGTCACAGACCCAGTGTGAGCCTAGGACGAGACAGATTTCAATATGCAGAGACACCACTTTGGCATACTGAGACACACAACACTAAGAAAGGTATACAGATACACAGCAGACACACTGACGTGAGTACACATTATTGTGTATTTCAGGTGGCGGATGAGCGCTCGAGGCTCAGACAGCAGCTGAGTGAGAGCATCCAGGTGAGACACACAGTCCCTTATTACAGTAATAATTACAGGTTGTGTTAAAGTGCATTCCTCCAGACTATGAGGTGTGTGTTTGTGACAAATGTCACTAGAGGCACGTGTGGTTGCAAACCTATTGTGTGTTTTAGGGGTCTTTACCCAGCACAGAAGAGCAGCAACTGAGGAGCAAAGTGAGGGAGCTGCAGGAGCAGGTGAGTGCAAAGCACCAGAAAGACTTCCTGGTGTTCTGATGTCAGCTGGGTGCTGACGATGTCTCTGTATCTCCTCCAGGTGAAGCAGCTCCAGTTTGCACTGGCTGTCGGTCAGCAACAAAGGGCAGAGTTCATTCAGCAGTCCTCCAGAAACAGCCAGTCAGTGCTCGCTCTGAGACTTGACCTCAGTGATTCACTAGCAACTATCACACAGCATCCAATCCCATCCATCCTAGAGTCTGAGACACAGCGATTGGATCGTAGCCTGAGGGAGGAGGAGCTCAGACTGTCCTTCAGCCAGCTGTGAAAATTCAGGACCAAATGTTCTTAATTACTTTACACTCATTAAATTGAGACGTAGAACATTCAGGTCTCTTTACCTCATGTTTATTTATTTAACCTTTATTTATACAGGCAGTCCCACTGAGACACTGAGGCTCTGCCTCGTACTCAGCCAATAGAGCTCTTCCTGTCAGAGGATTCGAATTAAAACCAGCCAATCAGAATCAAAGGGAAATGATGCACATACACCTGCTTTTCTTGCTATTAAAGCCAAAACAACCTTTTCTGCATTGTTAGAGTTACACAGAATTAACACGATTTAATAACAGTTCTGGTGATTTTTGCTGCATTGTAGACTTTACTTATGGTTTCTTTTCTCTGCATCACACAAAGCAAAGGAATTCTTATTTTGGTGTTTCTGCACATTTATTCTTCTGTTTTTGTTCTGTGGTTATACTGGTCGTGTTTCACATGCTGGCACTTTAATACTTTTGTCTCGTTTTAGTACCATTATTTCTGTATACAGTCATGTACTAACAGCAGCACTTTTTACAGTCACGACGCTTAAAAAGCTGATAAACGTTTACAGTCCAACAATGCCGCTTATTTATATTTATTTGTTTTAATGTGCAGCTCTTCCTCGAGCAGAAACCCAGACTCACCTGAGTCAGAGTGGCTCAGGTAAGTCTGGGCCATCGTGTTGTCTTTTCTAGATCCAAAAGTGACAATTTTTTAACGCTACCTTATTAAGGTGGCCGCCCTGATTACCAAGATGTGTTTATAAATTGCACAGGTGTAAGGTGTACCCATTTATACTGAGTACTAATATTAATAAAATAATTGTCACTCTGCACAACTGAAGGATCGTGGATGCGATGTTCACAGCAGCTGTGATACTTGGACCCTGATTAATGCAGAACAAGTGTCACAATTGGCCAGTCTGAGGGGAAGTGCCACTAAACGTTTGCTCCAACCCTGAAATACATGGCAGTGCCTTTCCCACAGTCCTCCAGTCTGAGCTTACTCAGGCTCACGTTGAAGTCAAAGGTCAACTCGTGGTGTGTATTTGTGTGTATTTGTGTGTATTTGTGTGTATTTGTGTGTATTTGTGTGTAAATATGTGCGGCCAGCTCGAGGAAGCGTCCCGGGGGGAAGGAAGCTGGTTTAGACAACACCCTGAACTCTGAGAGCTGCACCTGAGTCAGCTGACTGGCCCTCCAGATCATTTCCTGTTTCATCAAATCACT